TTATTGATCGTTCAAAGATTCTCTAATATGAAATGCCTCTTCAAGTCTTTTATCCATTTATTCATTGATGTGTTTCCTTTTATTATTATCTGTAGGTGTTCTTTATATATTCTGGATGAAACAAAAGAAAAGGCCAGAAATAGGTTTTGAGAATCTTTCCCACACTCTCTGGCTCATTTCACTTTTTTAACAATCTTTTGACAAAGAGAAGTTTTAGTCTTGGTAAATCTAGCTAAAGAGTGGTAATGGTGGGCATCTTTGACCTCTTAGTCTTGAGGAAGCAGTGTGCTTTACTGTGATGTCTGATGTTGGCTGTGGTATTTTGTAGATACTGAGAGTTAGTGTGTTTTTATTGTGGTGTGGGTTGAATAGTATTAAATCATTTTTCTTAGTGTGGTGATGCTCATAGAGTTTTCCCCCTTGGTTTATTTATTCTTTATTTATTTTCCCCTTTATTCTGTTGACGTGGTTAGTCACACTAGTTAAAGTTCTTACAATTTCTAATTTCCTAATCTTGTGATGCTTCAGTAAACCTTCTTTGTTATGCTGTGTTATTCTTTTTATAGCTTGCCAGGCTTGACTTGCTAATATTTTTGTGGGGTTTGCGTCTGTGTTTATGAGGAACAGAGGTCTGCAGTTTTCTTGGGGTGTCCTCGCAGGCTTCTGTGCAGGGTCTTGCCCACCCCTGAAAGGACTCAGCTGTGCTTCTCTCCTCTGTCTCTGGGCGTCTGCGCACAGCTGCCACCACTCTCCCCGCGCGCTTGGTGGACCTCACCCTTGAAGACATCAGACTGGACTTGTCCAGGGAGGTTTTAGATCAAGGAGTCAATTTCTTTAATAGATATAATACTTCTATTATTTTATTCTTTGTTTCTTGTGTCACTTATGATTAGTTTTAGTTTTTAAAGGAAATTGTTTATTTTGTCAAAATTGTCAAATTTATTTGCATCTAGTAGTTCATAATTCTTCTCATTTTAATGTCTCTAGGATTTGTAGTGATGTCTCCTTTAAGTGTCTGATATTATAGTTTATGTTTTCATTCTTCTCTTGATTATTCTTGTTTTAGAGGTTTATCCGTTTTATTAATCTTGTCAAAGAACCAACTTTGTTGATTTTTTCCCTAATGTACCTGTGCTTTCTATTCCATTAATTTCTTTATTTCCTTCCTTTAACTTCATGATACATTGCCATTATTATTGCTTTAAACAGTCATGAGTCCTTTAATTTTTAAAAAATAACCCACATACTTCTTTCCCTGGTGCTGTTCCCTTGTCCCTCAGGCCTGGGCTTCCTCTCGGGTCGTTTCCCTTCCTTTTGCTAGTTCTTACAGTGCAGCTCCACCGATGGCAGATTCCCTCAGCCTGCTTCATTGAAAACGTGCTTATTGCATTTTTCCTTTTTGGAAGATGTCGTTTTCCAGATGTAATTCACACACCATAGAGTTTGCCTATTGTGAATGCTTTAAAGGGTTATGCAACCATTAGCTCTATTCCTACCCCACACCCAGCCCCTGGCAGCCACTGGCACCTTCGGTGTCTGTAGATTCTCCTCCTCTGGGCCTTGCATATGAATGGAATCCTGTGCTACATAATCTTTCATGTCTGGCTTCTTTCATTCTGCGAGACATCTTCGAGTTTCACCCGTATTGCACCCTGGGTGTCAGTAGTCCATCCTCCTGCTCCCGGAAAGTGTCCCATGGGTGGCTGGCCCACACAGTGTTCGCCCATGCACCACTCGACGGGCATTGGGGTCACTTCTAGGTTTTGTGGATTAAAAATATTGCCGCCGTGAGCACTTGCAAAGAGGTCCTTGTGTGGACATGTTTTCGTTTACTTTACATGGATGTGTGGGAATGGTATTACTGGGCTGCATAGTAATGTTTAATGTTTTAAGAAACTGCTGAACTATTTCCCGAAATGCCATATTGTTCACATTCTCACCAGCAGTATGTGAACAGTGCATTTTCTCCATATCCTCACCAACACTTGTTTATCGTTTTTTAAAATTATTATTATAGTGGATATAAGTACCTCATTGTGGTCTTAATTTGCATTTCCCCACTGACTAATGATGTTGAGCATTTTCTCATGGTCTTATTTAGATCATAGATCTTCTTTGGTGAACTGTCTATTCAGATCTTTGGCCCACTTATTTATTTATTTATTCAAATATGCCCAAGGGCATATTTTTTCATTGCTTTTAGAGAGAGAGGAAGAGAGAGAGAAAAACATTGATGTGAGAGAGAGACATTGATTGGTTGCCTTCCATATGTGCCCAGACCGGGGATTGTGCATGCCCAGACCAGGGATAAAACCCGAAACCTAGATATGTGCCCTGACTGGGAATTGAACCCACAACCCTTGGGTCACGGGAGAACACCCCAACCAAATGAGCCACACCGCCAGGGCCGGTTATTTGTCTGGTTATTGTGAGTTGTGAGGGTTCTTTACAGACTCTGGACACAAGTCCTTTATTAGATACATGGTTTGCAAGTATTCTCTCCTTGTCTGGCTTGTCCTTTTATTTTCTTAGTGGTATCTTGTGAAACATATGTTTTTAAATTTGATGAAATCTATTTTATCCATTTTTAAGTTTCATAGAGCATGCTTTTGGTATCATGTCTAAGAAAACTTTGCCCAACCAAAGGTTATGAAAATTTTCTCCTATGTTTTTTCCTAGAAGTTTTATAGTTTTTAGCTCATACGTTTAGGCCTCTAATCCACTTTGGGTTAATTTTTGTGTATGGGGAGGTAAAGGTCTAAAATTCATCTTTTTGCCTATGGATTTCAGTAATCTCAGCAGTTAGTTGAAAAGATTATTCTTTCTCCCATTGAAGTGACTTGGCTCCTATGTGAAAAATCAATTGGCCATCAATGTATTGATTAATTTCTGGACATCTATCTGTTCTATTGATCTGGGTGTCCAGCCATACTCTAGCATCACACTGTATTGATCATTGTTGCTTTACAGTAAGTTTTGGAGTGGGCAGTGTGAGTCCTCCACCATTGTTCTTCCTTTCCACGTTTGTTTTCACTCCTGTGGGTCCTTTGCCAGTCCATGTAAATTGCAGAGTCAGCTTGTCAATTTCTGCAAAGCAGCTTGCTGGACCTTTGGGGAAGAACGCCTTGAAAGTCTAGCTCAGTTTAAGAACTGCCACCTTAACAATATTGAGTCTTAAATTCCATAGACACGGAGTATCTCTCCATTTATTTAGCTCTTCCTTCTCCTCCCCCTCTAGGACTATCGTTACAGTATGTTACATTGTTTCATATTGTCCCACACATGGCTCATACTCCATTCTTTTTTTCTTTTCTTTCTTGTCTATTCTTCAGTTTAGACTCCTGTTTTCATTGACTAGTGTTACACTACTTCATTTTTTAAAATCCTCACTGAGGACATGTTTATTGATTTTAGAGGGAGAGGAAGTGGGGGGATAGAAATATAGATGTGAGAGAGAAACATTAATCACTTGCCTCCCATATATGCTTCAACTGGGGATCGAACCCACAGCCTTTTGGTGAACAGAACAATGTTCCAACCAACTGAACCACACTGACCAGGGCATGTTTCACTTCTTTTATTTCTTTTTCTGCTGTGTCTAGTCTGTTAAGTCTATCCAGTGAATTCTTAATTTCAGATACTATATTTTTCAGTATTATAAAGGTTCTTTTTTGCACTTCTACTTCTGTGGTGAAATCCTTGATTATCCCTCATTTTATTCATTTTTCTTTCTAAACTCCTTAACCTACTTATTGTAATTATTGTAAATTTCTTGTCAGATAATTACAACATCTGGGTCTTCTGGAGGGTCTTCTTCTATTGACCCCTAATCATGGGTAATATTTTTCTGTTTCCTTACATGCTTTGTAATTTGGGCATGGAGGGATGCCAGTCATTGTCTTTAAAAGGATATTATTTAAAAAATAAAAAATAAAAAAATAAAAATAAAAGGATATTATTTTGCCCTGGCTGCTGTGGCTCCGTGGATTGAGTGCTGGCCTGCGAATCAAAGTGTTGCTGGTTCGATTCCAGGTCTAGGGCACATGCCTGGGTTGTGGGCCAGATCCCCAGTGCAGGGCACCCAGGTCCTTTGGGTGCTGAGAGGCAATCACACATTGATGTTTCTCTCCCTCTCTTTCTCCCTCCCTTCCCCTCTATCCTAGTAAATAAAATATTTTTTAAAGTATTATTTTCCCCCCAGAGAACTATCCCCTTCCTCTGTCCAGCAGCTGAGGTGAGGAGCTAATTTTTGCCCTCCAGTTAGGAACTGGGACGGGTCAGGGCTGGACTGCAGTATTAGTTTCCATTTATCCCAAGTTCCATGCCTTAGGGACGAGCTCTGTCTGCATTCAGTGTGCTGGGCTCCTCCCCGCCCCTGAAGCTCTCTGTTCCCCATCCTGACCATGGGCTCACATGGATGCTGTGTGGAGGGAACTGTAGCATGAGCATAGCATGCCAGCTTTTCTTGAAGATTAGGGGTAACACACACGCACTTCACCTGGTAAGAAACTTGAAGCATCTTTATATTAAATATTGTTACAGATTAAAATACAAAATTCACTTGACTTATCCAATGAAATGGATGTCGTCCTTCCAACATCTGTCACCTGCCCGCTCGTCTGTGCCAGGTACTGCGCTGACTCTCAGGCTCACCGGTGGCCGCTTGGAGGAGTCTGAGGTGCCACATGTCCCCCGATGGCAGATCTGAGGCTGGACCCTATCCCTCTCTGCACTTCTCTCTCAGCCGTCCCCCTCCTCACAGGTCACTCCAAAAGCCAGGCACAAGTGGCCTCAGCACAGGGTGGTTTCTGTGGGGATGGCCAGAGACATCGTCACCCTGTAACGTGAGATGCCCATTCAGGCGGGAGCTGCTTACAGACCCTGTAATGCTTCAGAAAGGGGCGGCCTCCGTTAAGAGCACAGTTCCCGGAACCAGAGGCCCCCACACACGTGTGCGTGTTTTCTAATCTCTTGGCTCTGTACTTCCCTATTTTCTTTAGGTTTGGGAAAAGTTCTTAAGTTCTGAGACTCCGCGGATTAATGTGTTTATGGCAGTGCCTACAATCTACACCAAGTTGATGGATTATTATGACAAGCATTTTACCCAGCCTCATGTCCAGGATTTTGTGCGTGCAGTTTGTGAAGAAAAGATCAGGTAAATGAAAACGGTTCATTTCTCACCCAGAAAGACTTGAAGATCAGTAAATATAACTTATTTCTAATAAGTTGGTCCTGCTAGTTATAGGAAGCAGTGTTTTCCATTTCCTTTAAAATATGCATTTACATGTTTATATCTACATTCTCTATATATCTGTGTGTATTCCATATCGGTATCTCTGTCCTGTCATTCCGTAGCTCCATCTGCATGTATATCTCCGTCTGTATTCTCTCTGTCTTCCTCTGTCTGTCTGTCTTTCTCTGTCTGACTGTCTTGTGGCAGAGTCTGAAAGATGAAGGTGAGGCCAGTGAACTGGCCGTCTTGCTCTCATCCTTTCTCACCCCACATTTACATACCACCCCCAGCTTCTGCTAGATCATTTCTGTCCACCGGCCTGTGGCTCTTGGAGCCCTCCCTGCCGGGGGCCTCATCACACCCCTCCTGACAGTGGTGCACCACATCTTTGGGTCCTCAGTGGCATGAAGTGTGCTTTGCACCCTCGTAGGGACCTGTAGTCACAGCAGGCCCCTCTCCCTGTTATGCTGAAGTGTGGCCCACTTTGAGTGCACGCCTCAGTGGGCAGCTTGGTAAGTTTTCCCAGGCCCAGTAGACACATGTCGCCAGAGTGACATGGCAGGCTGTGTCTGTGGCAGGCACAACCTTTCAACACTGCAGTGGGTGAGCTGCTAGACAGATGTGAATTTAAAATTCCAATGTATTTGTATGTATGTTTCCGTGACCTCTGAGCTGCCCACAAATCTGATTCCTAGTCCTTAAGAACACAGGAAGAGCATTCTGCTAAGAGCATTCTGGATTATCCAAGACAAATATTTGATATCGTTACGATTTTGCTCCCAGCATTCCTTTACTCCTCTTCTGTAAAGACATTTTGGTGGAACTACAGCTCTTGCCTGGTGTTACCTGCTACCCATCACCTGGTAGCTCACCCTCTCCCCAGCCACTGTGGGGTTGGGCAGCTGTTGATGGAGGTGTCCAATGCTCTGCCACCGGTGCAAAAGTGGGATTAGAAGCACATTCCACCCAACCCTACCAGACCCAGGGCAGGAGAGATATCAGAGAGAGAAGAAACCAGGGGGTTTCCGGGCAACAGACATCCTGAGACCTCCCCTGTTTCAGCTTGTGGTGGGGTGAGTCCTTCTGAGGAAACAGCAGTTGTTTCTCCTCTATTTCAAACTAGAGCCAAAAGCCTCTTTCCACATATAATGCTTAAATGACATGCTGTATACCAGAGTATTTAGGAGCTCACAGATGTTATAGAAATGTCATTGTCACCACCATGAGCCCTTTAGCATAAGACAGTGTGAAGGACCCCTGCGTGCACCCCTCAGCTATGAGCTGTCTCCTCTCACCTGGCCCTTACCTCTCAGACCTGGCAGCATTTTACCCATAGTCGACATTCCGTAGGAATCATCTTACTATTACTGTTATTTAGGATCGTTTGTAAACAACATATTGTTTGCAAAGAGTGCAAACAATAGGGCCAAAGACCCTAAAATTATTTTTTTCTTTTACCTTGATTACTCATTCCTTTTGAAGATCTATTTACATTCCAAAGTATACCCAACAAGTTCTTTTCAAAGAACAAAGTTAATTGTTAGCCCCCAACTGTGATTTTTTTTAATCATAAATTTTTATATAATGATGTTTATTGGACTGAAGATTGGCATTATCCCAGAAGCTCAGGCTGCCTCTGATTTGCCGGCAGGTTGATGGTTTCGGGGTCCGCCGCCCTGCCCCTGCCTGTGCTGGAGAAGTGGAAGAGGATCACAGGCCACACGCTGCTGGAGAGGTACGGGATGACGGAGATCGGCATGGCCCTGTCCAACCCCCTGACCGCAGAAGCTCGCTTGCCAGGTACACACAGTGCCTTCTCGGGGTCGCTGGCCAGGTGGCCACAGCCTGTTCCTTCTGGGCACTCACTTTCTCCCAAGTGGCCAGTTAGAGGTAGGACAGAAAGGTGTTCCTTATAGTAGGGTCTTCTCCACGTGACCCAGGGCATAGGTGGGAAGACCGTGAACCGCCAGATTCCATTTCCATTCCCACGTGCTTGTCAGAGTACCTCCCAGAGGGGGTGCTGCTTATGTCCAGACCACATCGGCTGCTGGTAGGAGCTTTCTGTCCAGGTGCCCTGAGCCACACAGGGCCAGTGGTGGCAGAAGACATGGCAGGTGTGTGGGAAAGGGGTGAGAGAATCCACCACCTTTTAGTGACCTGTGCATGTCTAGAGGACGCACTGCTCTAGGCAGAGATTCTTGTTTTTTGGTCTTGTCCAGCCTTCTCTAAAGTATCCCACTCTGACCTTTCTTTAAGTAGATCTCTACATCCTGGGTCCTTAACAGGGGATCTTCAGACGGAGCCCATGGCCTGGGATGGGAGCATGCTCTGTTCTATTCTCAGTCCTCTGTTTGTCCTCGGGAGAGGTCACCTCCAGTGTGTCCCGCACACACTGGTATCTCATTGGATGTAGAGTGGAACACCCCTGCATCTGTAATGACGTCAGTACATCCGTTCATCTTGTACACGCAGTGAAGTTCACCCCTCACGCCCCGCTCTGTGAGCAGTCGTGAAGCTGCCATCTCACTCAAGACCCAGAAGGCTTCCGTCACCTCGAAACCTCCCCCTTTTTGTGTGGTCAGCACCTCCCCACCCCGGGACCAGGCAGGCACTTTCCTGTTTTCATCTCCTATAATTGTGCTCTTTCTAGAACATCATATGACTAAACCCTGTGGGGCATAGCTGTTTGGGTCTGGCTTTTCATACCAAGCAGGATACTTCTGCGACACATCTATGTTGTCACAACGCCCCTTTCCATTGCCATGTAGGACTCGTCGTGTGGACAAGTCACTGTTTATTAACCTGTTCACCAGCTGAAAGCCGTTGGGTTATGTCTAGTTCTAGACAGTGACCAGCAAAGCTGTTGTAGCTGTGGGGATTCGGGTTTTTGGGTGCGCATCTGTCTCTACTTCTCATGGGTAAACACGGTGGGGTGGAATCACTGGGTCCGAAGGTAGACCTGTGCTCCACTTCATAAGAAGCTGCCAAACTGTCTCCAGAGCAGCCCCTGATACAGGGGTAACCTCACCCACTGACAGATGAGGGGACTGAGGCTTTGAGAAATCATGTAACCTACCCAAGGCCATGGAGTAGGTCCGTGAGCGGGCAGACATTCACACCATTAGACAGGGACGCTCACTTTGCTGCAGCACAGTGGCACAGCAGACAGCCCAGTATGAAGGAAGAGAGAGGGGGCAAAAAGTGGGCAGGAAACCTCCTGGGCCTTAACTACAAGAGCAGACGCAAAGCCAAGAAGCCAAGACCAGGAGCCAGGAGAGGAGAGAGCAAGCAAAGGGCAACGTGGGGACCGTCTGCGGGAAGGAGACTCAGGGACTGTGCGGGCAGGTGTGAGAGTGCCGATCAGCGGTCCAGAGGCCCAGCTGGAGGCTCACCTGCAGGTGGCAGAGGGACCAGGAAAGCAGCTGCTCTGGACGCAGGTACACCAAGAGGGTCCCCCACTGACTTGGTCTCCAGTTCCCTCTGAAAGGGCCCTGAAACCCAAGGTTTTCTGGGTAGAAGTTTCTGAATCTTAAATTATGGCTACAGCTCTTACTTGGGTCGCAAAGACAGTGTGTGGGACATCAGAACGGGGACTGGCTGTGGTCCCTCTTCTCTGCACTGGAATCAAGTATCCGTGATTGTTTTCTTCTCTGTAGAACAAGCCTCTAACTGTCGAGTCCAGTGCTGGTTTCCTGGTTTGCAAAGAAGTAAATAAAGTAACCCTCAACCTTAAATTCAAGAGTGCTACATGAAAATCCCTAAAATATCATCTCTGGGCTTCATTTCTGAAGAAATCCAGTGGAGGAGGTTTTCTGGGAGCCTTTTAGGTCTTCTCTGTGCACTGCAACTCCTGGGCCAGGGCTCATTCCAGCCGGAGGCCGTGAACTTGTGTTGGAGCCCTGGCCTGTGTCCCCTTCATACTTGGGACCCAGCCGTGCCGCCTCTCCTGGCTTTCCCACGCCTCCCAGAAAGGGGTTTGTTTCTGGAGGGCCCTTCCTTTCTGCTGCCTTCACGGCCCCTGAACATTGCTCCATCTGAATGACCACCAGGATTTATTTAAAGGTGCTCACAACCTGGCGGGGGCACAGGAGGGCATGGCTAGCCTCCAAGCAGGGACATGCTGCACAAGGGTGAGCGTCTGCCATGCGTTAAGCTCCGGGTCGCATCCGATCATTCATTCCCTGCGTCCCATGCGGTTCTCGTGAAGGAAGATGAATAATTCAGGGCTAAGTGCTGCTGGGCCTAATGATGCTCTAATTGGAGGTTGAGATCAGAGGCGCTAATGGCTCCTTCAGTGGGGCTCCATGGCGAGTTGACAGGAGCTCCTGGACCTTATCAGCCTGTTTCCATCCTCTCGGGACCAGCTGCGGAGCAGCCTCTCACCCCAGATGCTGGACCGAGCTGCAGGCCAATTAGAGTTATCTGGGAAGAGCAGACAACTGTTTTTAAAGAGAGATGGAAGAATGACACGCCAGTGGCCGGCCAGCACTGCTGCCCAGATGGGTGTGCGGAAGGCAGCACTGTCCGAGTGGTGCCAGGGGCACTGATGCTGGAGCGGTGGCCACTGCCTGGCTGATCCTGCCGTGACAGCGCTTGCTCAGGCGTGGGGCGGGGTGTTTCCGGAATTCTGGGGCTGTCCCGCCCCTGCCTTCTGTCTCTGCTCTGTGCGGGCCTCACTTCCACCTATCAATGGGGTCTGGGGCATGAAACTCAAGTCATTGTCTCTGCCCTGAGAGCTTAACACTGCCCTTGTGTTTGTGATGCCATAGGTAATTAAGGTTCTGTCAGCACTTTCACTGTAGATCTTAACAGTTCGTAGCTTTCACTTTGAAGGGAAGAGAAAGCCTTACTGAACAGAGCAGAGAGGGACAGGAAGAGTGTGTGTGGTGAGGGGCAGTTTCTTGCTTCAAAAAAAAATCAAAGGGGAAACGTGTGGATTGAAAGGTGGCAGGTAGAGGGTGGTGGGTGGGGAGGCTGGCCCCTTTTTGCATTTGGGAAGAAAGCCGGAGGTCCCTCTTCTGATAAGAACTCTATAATATTTGGACTCTGTCCCCATTCCTGGCACGGAGCCTAAAACCCTTAAATTTCTTAGGATACAAATGTCTTTTGTTATTTATAACCAGCCTCTTTCAACCACACCTGAGTTTGTGTTAATAGTGCTTTTGGGAAACTCCTAAGGGTGGGGGCTCCTGGCCAGGGGAACTAACCAGGTGATTGGAGGTTGGAATTCAGTCCCACCCTGACCGCCTAGGAGGGGCGAGGGGCTGAGGTCAAGCTGACCACCAGTGGTCAGTGGTTTAGTCTAATGAACACGAGGAGGTGCTGGGCGGGCAGTGCACCTGGGAAGCATGGATGCCCGAAGCCCCTTCCCCCAGAGGTGCTCTAGGTGTCTCTTCCATCTGAACACACAGAGCTTGTATCTATTATAACGAACTGGTCTTTTAGTAAGTAAACTGTTTTCCTAGGTCCTATGAGCCACTGTAGCAAATTATTGAACCCCAGGAAGACGTTGTGGGAACCTCTGATTTGTAGTCAGTGTGAACAGGAACTGTGGGTGACACCACTGGTGACTGGCAGTCCCTGAAGTGACCCACTGAAGGTGGGGGGCAGTTTTGTGGGACCAAGCCCTTACCTTTCTCCACATGAGCCTCCAGTGAGGGGCTGCTGTAGGTAATCAAGCATGGCATGGGGTGGCCACGTGCCTCCCTTGCACCGAGGCCTCGTGGGCAGACGCAGGAAGACACCCTGTCCACACACCTCTCTGCTTCCTTTCTTCTGGGGAGGTGGGCTCAAGGCTCACGCTTGAGCAGGCGGTGGTGTCTGAGAGCGCTCGGCCAACCCTGAGCACATGTCACTGCGCTGCTAAGACGGGCTCCTCAGAAGGAAGGGAACAAGGAGCAGGCTTTTATTTCTGAGTGAGATGGTTGGTCCTGCTTTAGATTCTGTACTTAAGTTGATGAAGTGCCTCCTGATGAAATAATCACGTTCTGCCTGATTACTTACGGTATGTTTATGGAACTCTTTAGCTCTGACAGGTACTTGAAGAAATCATATCTGACCAGTCTCAGAGGGTAATCAATCAGTTTGTAGTATTTGATGTTTTCTTATTATTCAGGCTAATTACCCTGCTCAGCACTGCATCACCCTGGTTCAAGCAGCAAGGAACATCATTACTGATACAGATTTAGAGAGCGTTGTCAGCTCCACAGGGCCTGTGGCAGTGCCGGGGGCACTGGGTCGGGGTGGCCTCTGCCCTGCCTCTTACACACAGCCTTTCTCTTCTGCACATTATCTGCCCAGTTTCTCTCTTAAACCCTTTGTTCTGTGGCTTTTACACACACACACTTATCATAAATTACAACCACACTCTAGTCACTAAAGGCTAAAACCAAGGTCAGCCTAGTAAAGTTTGACCATAAAACACGAGCAATTGGGAGCATCTGGAGACCTGGCCCAGGTGTCCAAGCTGTCAGGGCTATGGACTGGCTGGTCGCTCTGCCAGCATGTCTGTCAGTCCCCATCATACCGTGAGGTCTGGGGAGGAGCAGTGTAAATGATAGAGTTAAGCTTGTCACTGAAAGGGGAGATCAACAAAGAAAGGGATTATATAATCTAGAAAAGGTAATGACCTTGAGGTCAACTGGAAACCGAATTTAGAGTGTACAGAATGGCAGCTGGCCTTGGCTGCACCCCAGGGTCAGGCTGAGCCACCAGCAGGAGCACAGCTTGTGCAGTCAGGGGGCCTGGGCTTGTACCCGCCTCCACGTTCACAAGCTCGTCCTTGTCTCTGGTCCCCAGGTCTCATCTCCTCACCAGAAATGGAATGCCCCTGCTTCCAGGCTCTCTTGAGTCTTGAGTGCCCTAATGCCTGTGTGGCCACTGACTCCAAGTATATGTACCACCAAGAAGAGACAGGAGGACACATGTCAAATGGTTCCTTTTATAGGAAATGTCCAGAGCAGGCAAATCCATAGAGACAGGAAGTGGATTAGTGGTTCCTGGGATGGGGCTGGGGTGGGGGTGGGGAGTGGCTGCTTGTGGGCACAGGCTTTTTCTGGGGTGATGAGAAGTTCTGCAGCTGGATGGTAGTGGTGATTGCACAATACTGTGAGTGTGCTAAATACCACCGAATTGCCACTTTATAATGATCAGTCTATCTTATATGGATTTCACTTCAATTTGGAAAATCTTTGGAACCAAAAAAAAAAAAAGGATGTTGGTCAGTCTGCTTTGAGCCAGGACGTGACACAGATTTCTGACCAGAGTGGAAGAACCAGGCCTTCAGGACATGGAGAGCTCACCAGAGTGATGGGGCCAGGCCCACCCCAGCACCTCAGGCCGAGGAGGGCAGGCCGGTGCTGTTCTGGCAAACGAGACTGATGTGACAAACCTCGTGAAGAGTTTGGACCCAGGACACTAAGCAAATCGCAGAAAGTTTGCTGACCTGGCTTCCAGGGATATTTATCCTGTGACAATCCTCAGTGATTCCAAAGGTTATAATAAAGGCCCTGAAACCTTGAGGTGAATTCTCTTAGATCCCAGGAGTTTGGTCTTGGAACCTCTGCCATGCCTTAGTCATTTATTACAGTGGCCATAAAAAATTACATCCAAATCACCTGCCTCACCTTTGTAGGTTTAAAGTTTGATTATAAGCTAACCCATCATGGTGGGGCCTTCAAGTTGGATGAGGACACTGAACAAACCATGGGTGCCTAATACGTGAACCAGCATACCAGCGGTATTATCCCCCTGCTGTGAGAATCCTTGCTCATCACCCAACTTTCAGCATTGGTGCCTCTTGGGGCCTTTTCTGGACAGGTGCACTTCAGTGCCCTTACTGCTCAGCCAAGTGCTGGACTACAAGTGGAAGCCATCGCAGCATCCCATCCTGGGTGCTGGGAGGCCTTCCTGAGATGGCCTTAGGGCTCTCTGGAACATCTGGAGCCTCGCCTCGCATGCTGTTGGCAGCAGCAAGCCCTGGCTACTGCTGTGGCAGAGCGGGCACCCGCTGCGCCGAGTGGGGCCCCGTGCTCTCAGGTCTTCTCTGTGAGTGATGTCCAGCAGCACCCGAGTGCCTTGGGTGTGCAGCCCTCTCCTTCAGCGTCCCTCTGACCACATCTTCTTCCTCTCACGTTTCCCCTCTCCTTGTAGGTTCTGTGGGGACCCCGCTACCAGGAGTTGAGGTGCGAATTGTCTCAGAAAACCCACAGAAGGAGGGCTGCCCCTATATCCTCCATGTGGAAGGAAACGAGCAGGACACCAAGGTGAGTCACTGTTTTTCACTGGTGGCACGTGAGTATTGCATGGTCATGACCTCTCAGCAGGCTGCACAGAGGTCGAGGGTCGCCACTGTGCAGGGATGGCCCTGCTGGATGATGGAGATGCTGGCTGGTGTTTACCAAAGGCGCCCACAGGTGTCTCCAGGCACTGCCCACCGTGTGGACATTGTAAGAAGGCAAATAAGGCCCAGCTGTGCCCCGGCATCGAGTGCTCTGCCTGCCTTCTCCCTGGGCTCCCTGGACATGGGTTGCTGTGAGGTGGGTCACGATAGCATTGACTGAGGACGGCCCAAGTTCAAACAGAAGTCATTGTAGGTGGGATCTGGTTAAGGATTCTGTGCTGGCAGGACCCTGGTGTCCACTCAGAGTGGACACAAACTTCAGGGAAGGTGTGGCCACTCCAGCAGACTTGCTAAGGCTCTTTGGGAAGATTCACAGAACATTGTGAATTAAAGTTACCCACTTCTACTGAAATCACTCGTAGCTCTCTTAGTTTCTACATTATTCTAAAAATCACAAGGGTGAAGAAGAAAAGAACACTGCCTATTGTCTTATTCAGTGAAGATTTTAATAGCTACAGATATGCTGGTCATAAGTGAAGGGAGTCACAGAAAAGTTTAGGGATTAGTGGGAAATGGAATTTTGATTTAAAAGGAAAGATCTTTTCTACTGCTAAGATCCATACTAAATATCACATGTGATTCATTTCTGTTACTCAGAGGTTTCAAAAGATGACAGTAGTGGGTCCTTATTCTAGCTTTTATTTCTTCATGAGCACATTCGGGCTGGTCTGTCTCCCAGCTCTGCACCTCACCTGTGCCAGGAAGGGCTGGGCCCAGGTCATGTTCCGTGGGCCCCAGTTCCCACATCTAAAATGGGAGGGTTGGTGAGGTTGGTGTTGAATGTCTTCATGCCAGCAAGTGGTGGAACTCGGATGCTTTTAGTATATGTGCTGCCAAAGCAAGAACAAACCTGGATGCTTTTAAATGTACTTTCAATGAATATTTTCAGAACGACATCAAAAAAGTAGGTATTCTGGACTTCTAGTCAAGATGGAGGCATAAGCAAATACACTTTGCCTCCTCACCCAACCACAGAATGAATTAGGACTAGACCTCACAACAAATAACACTCAGAACCATCAGAAATCGAGCTGTGTGGAAGTCCGACAACCAAGGATTGAAAGAAGCCACGTTCATCCAGACGGGTAGGAGGGGCAGAGACACAGAGAAGGGCGGAGAGGCACGGAGGTGCAGTGCAGCGCAGAAAAGCGGCAGCGGTGGGACAGGCAGTCCCACGTATAGGCGTGGTGGGTGAAAATCAGGAAGGACACCTTGGGAGTGAGTGATCCCAGGCCGGGCCAGACCACACCACACAGCCCAGGGTTCCAGTACCAAGAAGATAAATCCCCAATACTTCTGGCTGTAAAAACCAGTGGGTGTTGGGGCAGCAGAAGAAACTGCCAGATTTTTAGGAGACTCTGCTTAAATGACCCGCATGGACTTAAAACATGTACAGACTCACCCCCTCTGGGATTCAGCACCGGGGCAACAGCTGGGTGTCAGTTGCACAGGGCAAGGGCCAAGCAAACCTTCAGAAGACAGGCAGTGGCATTGGTGGCATTGTCCCCTGTCCTCCACACAGAGCTGCAAAGCAGTGAAGTGGGTTGCTCCACCCCACACACTTACAGGTGCTTTTTCTACAATAGGCCACACTACTAAGACAGGGAATCAAAGCAGCTCTACCTACTACACAGAAACAAGCACAGGGAGGCTGCCAAATTGAGGAGGCAAAGAAATATGTCCAAATGAATGAACAGCACAAAACTCCAGAAAAAGAACTAAACAAAATGGAGATAACCAACCTATCAGATGCAGAGTTCAAAACACTGGTGATCAGGATGCCTAAAGAACTCATTGAGTATGACAACAACATAAAAAAGACTCAGGAAGAAGTGAAGGTTACACTATGTGAAGTAAAGAAAAATCTACAGGAAACCAGCAGTGGAGGGGATGAAGCTAGAATTCAAATCAGTAATTGGAACATAAGGAAGAAATAAGTATTCAACCAGAACAGCAAGAAGAAAGAATTTACAAAAACAAGGATAGTATAAGGTGCCTCTGGGGCACTGGAAGGAAAAGAGAAAGAGCAAGAAATTGAAAACTTATTTTAAAAAATAATGAAAGAAAACTTTCTTAATTTGGTGAAGGAAATAGAGATACAAGTCCAGGAAGCACAGAGAGTCCCAAACAATGACCCAAAGAGGACCACACCAAGACACATCATCATTATTATAGTGCCAAAAGTTAAAGATAAAAAGAGAATCTTAAAAGCAGCAGCAAGAGAAAAATAGTTAGTTACCTACAAAGGAGTTCCTATAAGACTTCTCAGGTGATTTCTCAAAAGAAACTTTTCAGGCAAGAAGGGACCGGAAAGAAGTATTCAAAGTCATGAAAAACAAGGACCAACAACCAAGACTACTGTGTCCAGCAAAACTACCATTTAGAACAGAAGGGCAGATAAAGTGCTTCCCAGATGAGAAAAAGCTAAAGGAGTTCATCGTCATCAAGCCATTATTATATGAAATGTTAGAAGGGACTTATTTAAGATAAAGAAGATGATAAAAACTATGAACATTAAAAAGGCAACAAATTCACAACTATCAACCACTGAATCTAAAAAAAAACAAACTGAGCAAACAACCAGAACAAGAGCAGAATCACAGGCATGGATTCATATGGAGGGTTTTCAGCTGGAAGGGGGAAGGGGAAAAATGGGGGGAAAGGTGTAGGGATTAAGAAGCATAATTGGTAGTTACAAAATAGAGAGGGGTCTGTTAAGATTAGTGTAGGAAATGGAGAAGCCAAAGAACTTGTGTGTATGACCCATGGACATGAACTCGGGGGGAGGGAGGCGGGGTTGCTGGAGGGAATGGGGGTATCAGGCGTAGGGGAGCAAAGGGGGAAAATTGGGACAACTGTAATAGCATAATCAATAAAATATGATTTTTAAAGTATATATTCTGTTTACCCAAGTGAAACTCCACCTGGGCCCTCACTAAGTTCTCTCAGCCTCTATTCCTGGATACGGTGACCTGTAGACACAGCCTTGCTCCTCCATTGCCCTCCTGAGGGTCCCAAGCCCTTGCTCTCTATCCCTAACCATCCTCTGACAAGGCTCTTGCCTCTGCCCTGCTGGTCCAGGGTGGTCAGCCACACCCACCCCTTGGGGCCCCTCACTTGCTCTCAGCCTGTGCCCTGCACACTCCTCCCCACCCCTGCCTCCTTGTGGACTCCCACTTATTCCCAGGTCACCAGCCCACCCTGCATTTGATGGCTGCCTCCCCAGATGGACACTCAGCCGTGCACCAGGTCAGGGATGGCCAGTAGAGAGTACAGACTGGGATGTGGGCTCCAGGGATGTTGTTGCATCAGGAGGTCCCCAGCAGAGAGAGAAATGCTGGCAGGTTGTAAATTCATCAGATGCTCGTGGCACAGGCAGCATCATCCATGACCGTGCCCCCTGCCAGGTGCCAAACACATGCCCCTGTTCTACCAGCAGTGGCGGTGGTGCTGCTAGAGAGAAGGCGTGGGGATGGGGAGCATCTCTCTTAAGCTACGATATAGTGTAACTCACTTGCACCTGTGGTGGCACGCAGCAGGCCATCTGACAGCTCCTCTCCCATCTTTGATGGTTTCAGATTGTCTGCAGAGAGTTGTGCACTGAAACTTGCTTAAAATAGAAAGTCAGCCGTCCCAGCCGAGAGCCATGACCTTCAGGGAGAAGGAAGCGCTTGTTCCACAGGGTGGGGGTTCCAGGGTAGTGGGTGCCACTGGCTGAGGCTCTTAGGGGCCGTGGAGACAGGAGGGAATAAGGGAGCCAGGGTCTTATCGTCCCTGCATGGGGAGCCCCATGCAGATGCACCCCAGCCATCTAAATGTGAAAGTAAGGGGATTTAGTGCTTGTGAGGATGTGTTCTAGAACATTCTCAATTCAGTGAAGGGATCGGTATGATAGACAGTCCAGGCTGGAGCTGCCTCGATGGCTACACGGAGTCTGAGGACCATGCTGGAGTCGCGGTGTCCCACACAGGGGTTATGGTGGACCTGGACCTCGTGTTTGGTCTTGTGATCAGTGAGGTCATGCTCTGCAAAGGCCACCCCCGGGGTGACCAGGGGCCTGGCTAAGTCCCAGCTGCAGGGACCTGAGTATTTTTCCCTGTGTCTTGCTTGAAGGAGCCCCTCCCTCCATGGCCCCGTTTGCCTGACCCAGCTCCCTCCCCAGGTGCCCTCCCCACCCCGTCCCCCAGTGGAGGGTTCTCTGGCACCATTTGAAGTAGTTCCACCTTCACAGTTCCTGCGGTTGCTCTCTCCCTGCTGGGCTGGGTTAATGCGCACATGGCTTTGTTTGCTGTGATGCATCTTTCATGTGCTACAGCCTCCAGCTGGCTCCTGACTATAAACTCTGCACATCACGCACTCTTTATTTATTCACTCACTCATTCATTCATTCATTCATTCACTTATTTATTTAATTTCTTGAAATTGCTTGCTTACATGAGAGCAGGGTGCCAGCCAGCAACAATGGGGTCCATCAGCAGATAAAGGGCTTCACAGCTGTGCATGACGCACAGGGCATGAAGGCCTTCCCACAAAATCATCTTCTCTTGCTGAGGATACAGAGACCCACGTGGGATGTGCATGGGCTAGAGCAGGACAGTGGCTGAGAGCTCTGCTTCCTTTTATTTCTCTTTAAAAATTAAGTATCTCATAGTTCACCCATCTGCAGGCTGTTGTTCTGGACAGAAGACTGCTCTGCTGCCTCTCCTTTCCACACCACCAGCATCTCCGGTCCTCTCCCCTGTCACTGCCGTCTGTCTCTACATATGCCACCGATGGCTACACCAGACCCATGGTGGGGCCTGGAGATGCTCTGCCCCGAGATGGTAATGGTGGTGTCCCCACAGAGGCACTTACCTCAGAACA